TTGTAACCCTATTTTAGAGAACATTCAATTTGAACCTTTATTAAAACCCTCAAAAAAAACCCACTTTGATCTTTTACTATACGATTTACCAACCAAATTAAAAGAATGCGTTAATCAATACTCAGATTGGGAAATAAAAAGATCAATGTTTACTGATGAAGAAAAGAATAATTATTTTATGAAACTAGCCAAAAAACATTTAAACAATTTAATCCAATTAAAATCAATTAAAGACTATAAATTCATATGTATGTATTATTAAAAATATTTATAATAATTGATAAGTTAAATAAAGCAATACTTACTTCTTTTTTTGATTTATAGATGGTTTAGAAACGATTATTATTGGTGAAGAAATATTTTATTTTTTCGACGTAAATATATATAAATTTAATTTTTAATTTATTTTTCTTTTTTAATAATTATTTTAATTTTTTTTACCCCCAGTATTTAGGAGGAAGTCCATTTAGTATAGTTGGTTCAATTTATGATATTGCTCTTTACTTTTTTGGTCAAGAAGATAGCTGTCAACAACTCTTAAATTTAAATTTCTTTAAATATTTAAATATTTTATTTTGTTATAGTGTTATGGTTGCCAAAGGTCATTCAAAAATCGAATATTCCCCATCAGATGGTTTATATTATTTAAACAAGTTATCAACCAACAACAATGATAATAATAATAATGATAATCTCATCAACTACTCAAAAATAACTATTGGTTCTATTAAATATAATATTTTAGAAATATTAAATTTAAACCATCAGAAAGATAATGATTTATATTATGATTATAAAACAATGATTTTATTATTAGAAACTACCGATACAAATGAAGTAAATATTCAAACCAATATATTATTCAATTATTTAATTTATTAATAAGAATTCTTTTTATATACAGAAAATTTATTGTATTCGAAAACAAAAGAAGGAACATTTAACTGAAAAAACAATAGATGAAGTTAAATTTGAAGAAATTGATAATAATAAGTTTAAAGAATTTAATGATCAAATCATTGTTCCATGCTATATTGTTCAAGATATTAATACATCTTATTATTTCTTTAAATCTGAATTAAAAATCAAATCAATCGAAGACATAATTGAAAAAGAGTAATTATTCATGTATAACTACACATACACAAATAAATTCATATTAATTATTATTAAATTTTTATTAACAGTTACAATGATATCAGCATAATAAGATCATTATTATATTATTTCGAATATTTTGTATCAAACCCATCAAACTCAAATCAAGTGATTCTAATTAAATCAAAATCAGTTTTAGATCAACAAACAGAAGATTTTTTAATTATTTTAGATATTTCATATTTTATCAGAAGAGTCTATGGTTTTTATATTGAAAGTATATATCCCAATTGGGAGAAATATATTAAAACAATTTATTCAGGTAAATCACTTTATTCAAACTATTTCATAATCAATAAAAATAAAATATTAAATGATATAACCAGTTTAGAAATTATTGATAGAAATAACGACAAAATAGATGTTATTATTGGTTATGACATAATATTTAATATTATAGAAATTAAAAAAATTAAAGAAAATGTTCATTTAGTCAAAATAAATGATAAGGGAAATATTTTATATTTATTAAGATTAAAATTGAAAATTTATTAACTTTTCATTATAAACTTAGTTTTATATTCTAAAAATTACAGGTTCAATTAGAGGAACCAAAGAAATGTATTTAACAGGTGGAAATTTTGAAGCAATCCAATTATTTGGAAAACTTTATACAACTAATTTTTTTAATCTTAAAGAAAAAATGAAAATGATAAAACATATGAACTCAAATTTTGAAATGGATATTTTAGAATATAAATTTAATTCAGAGCTTTTAATACTAAACATAATAAAAGAGATGGAAGGAGTTGTTCAAATATACGACTATTATTTAGATGATGATTTAATTTACATTTTAATAGAATACTGCGAAAATACAACCAATCTCTCTGAATTTAAAATAAAAGATCCATCACAAATTACTCAAATATTAAAACAAATGGTTAATATTTTAGAAAAATTAGAAGAACATGATATTTATCATCGTGATATTAAAAATGGTAAGATAAAAATAATATAAAATAGATTATATTTTTTTACTAATATAAATTTATTATCACAGAGAATATTTTAATTCAAGAGAATAATGGTGAAATACAATGTATTTTATCAGACTTTGGTACTTCAGGAATTGGTTCAGAGTTAAAGAAAGATGAAGAGAAATATTACTCAAGAAATGGTAGCAGAAATTACCAACCACATGTAAATATAATATAACTTTAAAAAAAAAAAAAAAAATCTAATTATATTTTATTTAGGAAATTTATATCAAAAAACTCAGAAGCAAAAACCCAATTGAATCACTTCAAAATAAACATGATATCTTTAGTTTAGGTTGTGTTATCAAATCCTTATTTGAAGAAAATAAATTAAAAGCAGGTGAAGAAATTAATACAATTATTAAAAAAATGACCCAATTACAAGTATGTATAAACTATTTCAAAATATAAACTAAATATTTTTATAAACCCATACACTAACATCTATCAAAATTCTAAAATAGTATGACAAACGAATAGATTTAAAAGAATTAAAAGAATTAACCGATCATCTTTAACCAAGAATGAAAAAAAATTTAATGTTATAAAAATCTTGATATCGTTGGAATATTTTAAAAATTTTCGTTGAACCCCATGACACTATCTTCTAATGTTGATTACATTAAATTCTCTATCATTAAAATCAAAACAATCTCTTTCATAACAATCTTTACTCTTTTTTAAGTATAAATTAATAAAAATAAAGATTTGAATATTTTAGTTTTACCATAGGTGTTTAATAAATGACGAGTATTTATAATTAAGCATTAGAAATTCGTATTTTGTAATTTTTTAGTTTATTTATTTCTATATAAAAACAATTTTATATTAAAAAAAAATAAAAATAGAAATAAAGTTTTAAACAACCCCCTAGCACTAGTACAATTTCAATGGATAAAAACATAAAAAATATATCTATAAACCCATAAAACCCCTTTTTGAAAAAATTTTTAAAAAAATTTTTATTTTTATTTTTTTTATTAATTCGATATATCTTCTTAATTTTAAAAAACAATAAATTTATGTTTTTCTTTTTTTAGAAAACTTAATTTTAATTTTTTTTTTTTTTTTTTTTTTTTTTTTTTTAATTTATATTTTAGTTTTTTTGAAAATAGTTTTTATAAAAATTTTTTTTTTTTAATAACTTACAAACCAATTTTTTTTTTAATAATAAAAAAAAATAAATAAAAAAAAAAAATAAAAAAAAAAAAGAAATAGACAATATTTTTCAACATACACACCTCGGCACTCATAAAAACGTCAACTTTCACATTAACCAAATTCGTTTTTTTGTTTTAATAAAATTAAAATCAAAATATTATCTAAAAACTTTTTTTTTTTTTTTTAAAAATAAAAGGTTTTTCAGATTAATAGATTTTTATTTTCATTTAATTCATTTATTTATTTTTATTTATTTTTTATTTTTTTTTAATTTATTTTTTTTAATTTCAAATATTTATATTCTTTTATTTTTTTTTTCTATGGAATTTTATAATTTAATAACCACCAAATCAAATAAAAATAACAATAATAATAGCAACAATTATAATAATATCAAAGAAATAATTAAAATTAATAATATAATTTTAAACCCATTTTTTTAAAAAAATAAAAAAATAAAATAATAACAATTTTAAAATAGAATGAAATTAATAATATATTTATCATTTGTATTATTAGTTGTGTCGTTATTTTTAATAACGATTGGTATATCATCACCAACATCAACAATAGTCAATAATAATAATAATAACAATTTACAACATCAAAATGCAAGAAATAGCCATCAAAGCTTAATGAAGGAAGATAAGTCAATTAATGACATTATAAACAAACATTATAAAAAAATGATTGATGGATTAAAATTAAAGAATCAATTCCATTACGATGAAGAAAAGTATATGAAAAGAGCAATGGAGAAACAAAATACCGATCCAACAGGGTACAAATGTCAACATGATTCAATAACTGAAAAGAGAAATTTAAAAGTTTCCCAAAGAATTAAAGAACACATGGAAAAGAACCCAAATTTATCTTCACAAAAAAATAATTTACAAGCTGCTGATAATGAAGGTACTGTAAATGACAAGATTCGTTTCTATTTCAATACTTCATTCATCTCCGATAGAACCGATCCATATGCATGTTACGAAGTTGGTCAAAAAATTTCAGTTGGTGACACCACTGCAAATGTTGCTTGTTCAAGTACCTCAGACTCTGCCTGTATTTACACATGTACTGAAGCAGATATTCAATCTTCAGCTCTTCAAAACTTTATTAAAAGTAGTATTATCGAAACCATTAAAGAGGTTTTCGAATCTAGAATTAAAATTAGAAATCCAAATGAAAACATTAAATTCAATTATCTTTCAAATGATTATACTTGTGACTATGGTGTAGATATTCCAAACTCCTTTTTTACTCAAGGTATTGAAAATATCGATATGTATGTTTGGGTAACCTCAAGACCAACTCCAAGTAATAGTAAGTTATAATATAATATAATATAATATATAATATATAATATATAATTTTTTTCATATACTAATAATATTATTATTTTAGATACTATTGCTTATGCTTTTTCATGTAATTTTGATACAAGTAGTAGTATTTACGGTAGACCAACTGCAGCATCTATTAATTTCAATCCATTATACTTTACCCCATTTATTAATGCTGAAAATTCAATCTCATTCAACGAATATGTTAGAGTCGGTATCCATGAAATGACCCATGCTTTAGGTTTCAGTTCCACTTTCTATCAATCATTTATTGTTCCAAATACCAATGATGTAATTAACGATGGTGATGGTGCTGCCAAAACAATAACCATCAAAGATACTACTCCATCAGGTGAATCATTCAGTTATAAAAAGAATGCTATCTACTCACCAGGTGTTGTCGAGTTTGCTAAACAACATTACAAATGTGACAGTATCGAATATCAAGAATTAGAAGATTATGGTGGTTCAGGTACTGCTGGTAGTCATTGGGAAGCTAGAACTGCTGGTGAAGAATATATGATTGGTTTTGTTAGCCCAATTATGCCAATTACCAACCTTTCATTATCATTGTTACAAGACTCTGGTTGGTATGTAGTTGATGGTTCAGACAGTGATCCATTCCTTTGGGGTAAAAGTTTAGGATGTGATTTCGTTAAAAAACAATGTTCAGACACAACATGGAACTATCAAGGTTATTTCTGTACAGAGGACCAAGCTGTAAGTTGTACAGGTACTAGAATGGGTAAAGGTGTTTGTTCCATTATAACACTTCCATCCTCATCTAAAGAGTTATATCCACAATACCAACATTTCAAAGACCCAAGAACCATAGGTATTAATTTTGCCGCTGATGGTTGTCCATTCTACCAAGTTCAAGATAATAATGTATATTGTTTTGATACTTCAAAGAGCAGTACCGCAAATGCTGATGTCTATGAAACCTACTGTGAAAATTGCAGATGTTTCGAATACGCTAGCGATAACAACAAAACCCAACAAGCTTGTTGGGAACAAAGATGTGGTGACAAAGGTCTCCAACTTAAAATCAACAATCAATGGTTCGATTGTCCAGATTCATCAACCATTGTCGCCTTTGATGTCTCAATTATGTGTCCAAAAGGTTCAACTTTTTGTGGAGGTACACCAGTTCCAATAAATATCGTAAGTGGTAATCCAGCTTCAGTTATATTACCAACTTTATTATTATCAATTATTTCCTTATCATTATTATTTTTAATTTTATAAATTAATGATTGGATAATAATCTCAATTTAAAAAAAATAAAAAAAAAAAATCTATTTATTTATTAAAAAAAAAAAAGTTTTATAGTTCATATCATTAATTGATTTTAATCATTATCTATTTTTGATCATTGGTTTTTTTAATTTTTAAATTGGGTTATTTTTTCACACTTTTTTTTATTTTTTAATTTTTTTTTTTCAATTTTTATTTTTTTAATTTTTTTTTAAAATTTTTTTAATTTAAAATTTTTTTTTCTTTTCTTTTTTTTTTTTTTTTTCATTAAATTATATTTTCAGTTTATTAAATAATATAATATATATAAATATATATATCTATAATATATGTAATAGTTTTAATACATATAGTAATCAAATTCGAAATCAATGAGTTATGTTTATGTACCAAAGGTAAATAATAATTCAGTACCACAACAAATGAACCAACAACCACCACAACAGCAACAACCTGTTGGTGGTGTAGCTCAACAACAATCAAACCAACAACTACCAGAACAACAACAACCACCAAAAGAAAAAAGACCACCAAAGCCAAAAGTACCAAGAGTTCCAAAGGATTTAAAGGATCCAAACTCCGATTTTAATGATAATAGCAATAACAATAATAATAAACCAAAAACTAGACCCCCAAAAGAACCTAAAGATGGTAAAGAAGTAAAGGATAAACCAGTTAGAGTTAAAAAAGAAAAACCAGTTGTAGGTGATAAATTACCTCAAAATAATCAACCTGCACAACCAGGACAACCAGCACAATCACAACCACAACCACAACCACAACAGCCAAAACAACCAAAACAACCAAATCAACCAAATCAACCAAAACAACCAAATCAACCAAAACCAAAACCAAATGATATTCAACAAAATACTAGAAAAGAAGATTATTCAAAAAATAAATTTGGTCAATATAAATATGTAGCCAAAGAAGATAAAGAGAAATTAGAAAAAGAAAAAATTGAAAAGGAGCAAAAAGAGAGGGAAGATAAATTAGAAAAAGAAAAATTAGAAAAAGAAAAGAAAGAAAGAGAAGAGAAAGAAAGATTAGAGAGAGAACAAAAAGAAAAAGAACAGAAGGAGAAAGAAGAGCAAGAGCGTAAAGAAAGAGAAATTAAAATGGAGCAAGAGCGTAAAGAAAAGGAACAAAGAATTGAACAAGAAAAGAATTCAACGTCTAAGAGATGAATTATCAATGCAATCAAACCTTAGAGCCAATAATCAAAAGTATGCCAAGTCTAAGCAAGGAACTAAAGATTTAGATTCCAATTTCAAAAAGGTATCGACATTTGTCAAAAAGATTAAAACCATTACCGAATGTCGTGAAGGTATAGTCAATGAAGTTTCACAATTGAATTTATCTCATTACGTTTCTGAAATCGTACCATCCCTATTAAAGTCAAACTTTAAACCTCAAGATACCATTTATGTAGTCCAAGTATTATCTATCATGTATCAAAAGTATGAAGATGTAGATTCCTTAATTCAAGAAAACATTCCACCATTCTTTACTCCATTCATCATTCCTTTGACAGATTCTGAAAGTGAAAGAAATTCTAAAATCACCAAACGTAGATATATTCTTCGTTTAATGTTAGATTTATTCTGTATTGATATCATTCACTCATATCAACCAGTTTATAAATTAATTACAAAACTTTCATCTCTTGCCGTTGAACAAGATAAAGATCAAGGTTATGCAAATTTATTAACTTTTTTGAATTTCTTAAAACAATTCCAACAAATTTTCAATTATAAAGATAAGGTAATATAGTTTTTTTTTTTTTTTTTTTTTTTGATTATAATTCATACAAATAACTAACAAAATAATTAATGTTAATTAAAACAGGTTCAAGATTTAAAAAGTACATTTTTAACATTAATCACAGAAGAAGAATTTAACAACACTAGAAATATAATTACAAATTATTATCAAACATTGTGTAACTTTTTAAATAAAGAAAAATCTGTAAGTATTTTATTATTAAATTTTATTTTTTTAAAATCACAATATTAATTTTTTTATAATTTTAATTTTTTTTATAGTCCTTAAGAGATAAAGAAAAAGAAATTAAATTATTTTATAGAACTAAAGGTGAAGTACCAGATGAAGCTTCAAGTAGCTATGATCAAATGAGAAAGCAATATGAAAAATTAATTACAAATATTTCAAATTATGCAGAATTAATTGGTGAACCAGTACCAAATAATGATTATTCATTCCAACTTGAAGAAGAGATTAATAATGAACAAAAAACTGAACAACTCGAAGTTTTCGATTCACCATTCGAAAATGAAGAACAAAAACATTTTTATGAAATTACTTTTACCGTACCAGGCAAAGATCAACATTTACATACACCTAAAGCTTCACCATTATCCCCAACTAACCAATCAACCTCATCTACTCCATCATTATCATCAACTCCAACTTTAACTTCTATTAGTAGCCCAGAAACTATTGAAAATAAAGAAAATAAGGAAATTACAAGTCCTACTGCTACAAAAGAGTCCCCAACCACCACCACCACCACCACAACAACAGACTCTGCACCAAATACACCATCCAAAAATTCAAAACCAACAGATGATGTAGAAAAAGAAAAACAAAAAATTAAAGGCATTTTAGAAGATTTATTAAGACAATTAAAAAACACACATAAGCCATCATCTATAGATTCAATTGTTCAAGAGTTTATTAAAGTACCACCAAAATATACCAAACCATTCCTCCAACAATTATTACAACAATCAAGATTAGATCATATACCAACATTTTCCAGATTCCTTTCAACAATTTACCAATCATCAACTTATAAAGATTACGTCAATAACTATATCAAAGAGATTGAAGACGATCAAAAAGGTTTGTTTGAAAAGAAAGAACCAAATCTTCTCACATTTAAAATTAGAAATATCGTATATATAGGTGAATTTATCAAGTTTGGTGTACTCCCAAGAACAACCGCTTTCTCTTATTTACGTATTTGTTTCGATGATTTCACCAATCACAATATAGATATCGCTTGCTATCTTTTTGAAACTTGTGGTAGATATCTTTATAGAACCGCCGACTCACAAATTCGTTTAAGAAATATGTTGGATATTTTAATCAAGTATAGAAATGCAACTACATTGGGTAGCTCAAAAGAACCAATGGTTGAAAGTGCCTATTTAGCTTGTAGACCAATTGTAGTCAAAAAGAAACAGATAGATCCAATAAAGAAATTTGTTAAATTCTTAATATTCAAACATCTTTCTACCGCCACTTTAGATAGAATCGTTGAAAAGATATTGCAACTACCATGGCCTGAATGCGAAGGTTACCTTACTAAATACCTCTTAGATGTCCAGAAGGGCAAATTTGGCAATATCTATTTGATTGCTGATATTCTCTTCCATCTTAGAGACTACTATCCCACATTTGTACAATCTGTAATTTGGAAATTATACGAAGAAATAACAGTAGGCTTTGAAAAAAATGACTTTAATCAAAACCAAAAGAGAATTATGCAAATAACATTATTTGGTGAACTCTACAATGCATGTCTTTTAGAAACCAACCATGTTTTCGATTTATTAATTGGTGCTTTAGAATACGGTTATACTACAACCCATTTGTTCCCAGCCAGTCTCAATAGAGAAAGAGAACTATTAAGAAACAGACCCAAACCAAACTTGGATGAATTCGATCCTGTTAATGACTGTTTTAGAATTCGTTTTATATGTACATTGCTATTAGTCTGTAAAGATTGCTTCCCACCAGAAGACATCGAGCAAAATCTTAAACCCTACATGGTATTCTTCCAACGTTATACCCTAACAAAACTATTACCATTAGAAATTGAATTTATGATTTCAGATTGTCTTCAAATTATTCCAGATATAAAAGTATTTAAAACATGGGAAGAGGCAAACAATGATTGTTTAATTTTATCAAATGGTGGCACAATAACTAATGAACCATTAAATCAACAGGAATCACCACCACAACCACAACCACAACCCCAACCACAACCACAACCACAGCCACAAATTAAAATACAAAAACCTCAAAAACCACAACCTCAACAGCAACAACAACAACAACCTCAAAAAACAACCTCAAACACAAATCAATCATCAAGATCACCATCACCATCACAGCCATTGTCACCAACAAAATCAAATACCCCATTACCTTCAGAAAATATAGATCAAGAGAAGCTTATTATGAGTGAATTAGGAGATTTAGAAAATGAAGATGATGACATCAATATAGAAGAGGACATTTTGAAGGAATTTAAAGCAATGGTTACAGAAGGTCAAGAAAAGAAAGAAAAACAAAAATTAACATTACCTTCATTATTTAATATAACTGGTGGTCCCAGTGCTCTTAGTGATACATCACCAATTACACCAATAGCTTCAAACGGTTTCGTTCCATTCAAAATATTATTGAAAAAAGGGGATAAATCAATATCTAAAAATATTGAAATCCCTCAAGATTCAACCTTTGTCCAAAATATTTTAAATGCAAAAGAAGAACAAGAAAAAGATATTAGAGAAAATAAAAAACAAGTTTTAAAACAATTAGGTAATTTAAATTAAATAAATAAATAAATAAATAAATAAATAATAAAAATAAACAACGAATCCAAATAATATATAAATAAAATAAAAAAATTAATGTAAATTTTAAATAATAAATTTTATTTTATTTATTTTTTTTTTTTTTTTTTTTTTTTTTTTTCGTTTTTTTAATAAACAATTAAATACTTTTACTAAATGTCATTAAAGTTTAAAAAGATAATATTACCTCTTAAATTATTTTATTTGAACTTACCCTTTTTAATTAGGCGCGCTTTATTCCCACACCGTTAAAAATTTAAATTTTTTTTTTTTTACAATTTAATTTTTTATTTTTTTTTTATTTTTTTTTTTCATTATTTTCCAAATCAAATAGTTTTGAGATAATAATAAAATAATTAAATAGTAAAATTAATTAAACAAATAATATTGTCTACTATTTTTTTATTTTATTTGTAATAATAATAATATGAAATAATAATATTAAAAAATAATAATATAATAATTAAAAAAATAAATAATACAAAAATTAAATTAAATATCAAATAATAATAAAATAATAAAATAATAAAATAATAAAATAATAAAATAAAACAATATAATAATTAAAATGTCATTAAGTGATTGGGAAAATGCTAAAGAGAATATTGTACCACTTAAAGGTGGTAGAGATCCAACAAAACTTACATCATTTGCTAATAAATCAAATCCAGAGGAATTAGAACAGGAAAAACAGTAATTATTCAAATATAATAAAAAATAATTTAATTCAATAAATACTAACAATAATATTATAAATTATGTTTATATAGAAAATTTGAAGAAATTATTAATGAATATAAAGGCGAAGATCCAATTGAAAATTGGTTAAAGTATATTAAATGGGTACAACAGTCATATCCAGGTGGCAATATGAAAGAACAACTCATTATTTTATTGGAAAGATGTACAAGGTTATTTATAAATACAGAAAAATATAAGAACGATCCAAGATACCTTAGAATTTGGATTACATATGCAGATATGTGCAGAGATCCCATTGAAGTATTTGCATTTTTAGAGAATCAAAGAATTGGTTTTTATCTCTCTTTAATTTATGAAGCTAGAGCTATTGTCTATGAAAATAAAGGTGACTATGAAAAAGCCGATAAAGCATTCAAACAAGGTATCGAACGTAAAGCCCAACCAATAGAAAGATTACAACAAAAACATCAAGATTTTGAAAGAAGACTAATGGCAAGATTGAAATATCAACGTGAACATAACCCAGAGCAATTCCAACAACAACAACAAGAATCATTATTAAACGATGAAAATGGGAAATCAAATAGCAGAACTGTTTTAGGTACAATCAGTTCGACTCATGTTTCTTCAGAAAGAAAATCATCTCAAATTAAAGGTGCACCATTAGGTATTTCTGCTTTAGGTATGTATAGTTTACACATATAAAAGTTAAATTAATAAATAAATACTAATATATACATATTTTTTTTTTAATTTATTTAAAAAATTTATTATAGATAAAAAAAGAAAAATTAATGAAAAAAGTAATGGTGGAGGCGGATTTCAAATTTTTGATGATTCAAATAGTGGCGGTAATCCAGATGTCCAAACTGATTCTAAATTCTTTGGAGCATCACGTAAATCTTCAAATCCAACCATCAATAGTGTAGGTGATTCTCTACCACAAGTTAAATGGAACGAATTAGAACCAGAACTCACCAAACATAAAGAAAATACCCAGCTCGCTCAAAAATGGACCGATACTAAAATCCCACAAAAGAAATTAAAGAGCACCACCTCAAATTTCCAAATTTATTGTGACGAAAATCTTGAACAACCAAATGGCACAAGTGATCCATCATCACCAGAAAAATTAAAATTGGTTTCAAATGTAAAACAATCAAAATTAGAAGAAATTCAAAACAATCCATTAGCCAATTTTACAAAAGGTTCTCAATCAACACAACCAAATGGTAAATCATCTTCATCTTCATCTTCATCCTCATCATCTTCGTCATCGAGTAAAAATGAAAAAATTGGCTATAACAAATTATTATTTACAAATAATGATAATAGTGAAATTTCTTTTGAAGAGTACAGAGCTATGGTCGCAATAAAGAATTTAAAAGAAAAAGAAGAAAGAGAAATACTAGAAAAAGAAAGATTAGAAAAAGAAAGGTTGGAGAAAGAAAAATTGGAAAAAGAAAAACTAGAACAACAACAACAACAACAACAAGATGAAATGTCAGTTGAATATGAAAAAGAAAGAGTACCAACATCACCAACTATGACAATCCACACCAAACAAGCATTTAATGATGTTATGGCAATGTTCAGCGAACCATTAGAAATTGAGCAGGGTAACAAGAAATCTAAAAAGAAATCAACTTTAGTTTTATCATCAACCTCACCAAATCCATTTAAACATTATCAAGACAAAGACGAAGTTTTTAGTGAACCATTTGAAAGTCCTGATAAAAATGTAGAAAAAACAAAGATTACCAATCGTGATATGATTATGAAACAATTAAATTCATATGAATCAATGGAAACTGCTGTACAAGACCAACCACAATTTATTACATTAGACCAAGATAGAGAAAGAGTTCAAACCATTGATAGAATAGACCAGATAGTTAAAGTCCACCAACAACAATTCCAAATATTTGAAGATCAATCAGCTGCTCAACAAAACAATAACATGTTTTCAAAATCATTCCAATCCAAAGATCCAAATTTGGCAGATAAAATTAAAGGTAAAAATAAATTGTCAGCCTCATCCATTTCAAACAATAATAATGGTGGTTTTTCAATATTCCAGGACCCATCACCACAAGAAAACCAACAACAACCACCAAAGAAATCGATTGGTGGCGGTGGTTTTGCTATATTCCAAGATCCATCACCACAAGAACAAACTACTGAGCAACAACCACCAAAGAAACAATCAACTGGCTTTGCAATTTTCCAAGATCCATCACCACAAGAACCAATCGAACAACAACCACCAAAGAAACAATCTAATGGCTTTACAATTTTCCAAGATCCATCATCACACGAACAACACGAAAATAAAACAATAGAATTCGAAAGACAATCACAACAAAGCCAACAACCACAACAACAATCAAACAATATTACATTTTCAGCATCAACATTTTCAGTTAGCACTATTTCACCATTATCAAGCAAATCGATGGTTATGATGGATTTTAATAGTACAACCCAAGATAATCTCGAAGCTAGTTTCAAAGCAGCTAACAACATTACAAGTAATATAACAGGAAACATTACAAGTAATATTGACCCAACAACAGTTATTATATGTAGTTTAACACCAGATGACGGTATTGTTTCTCCATATCAAATTGAACACCAATATCTTTTAGAACAACACGTCTCGGGTACCGTACAAGCAATTGAAACATTTATGAATGTTAGCGATGATGTATCCCCACTTCCAGAAAATTTAGATCAAGCTCAAGTTAATCAATCTCTTGAAGACAATGGAATTATCGTTCAAATGCCATTCTTTGAAAATGAAATTACTGTTAGTTTTAGTAAGTGTATTGCAAAATCATCAATTGATGGTAGCACTACATTCAAAGTCGAAAGAATTGATGATAATGCAACACCAGAAGATAGTTGGTTAACATGTAAAGTTCAAGACCCATCATCTATTTGGGAGTTTTATATTATAAATCAAATTCATACACGTCTAGAAGAAAATTCACTACCAATTTCTAAAAGCAAATTCCCAAAAACCCATTCACTTTATTACTATACAGATAAATCAATAATGTTAATGGACCACTTTGACCAAGGTACTTTAGTTGATGTTGTATCAAGCTACCCAATGGATGAATCATTAGCAATGTTCCACTGTATAGAATTATTAAGAACTGTTGAAGATTTACATCGTGTTGGTATTATTCATGGTAACATCTGCTCAAAGAATTTATACTTTTTATTTGGTACCACCTCAAACTGGCCAGAATGGTCAGCAGATTGCCAAGGTGCATGGAGATCCAAAGGTTTTAGTTTAATCGACTTTAGCAAGTCTGTAGACACTACAATTTATAGTACAGGTGCCAAATTTATTTCACCATTTGAACTTTTGCCACAAGGTACTCCATCAGAATGGTCCGACTCGAATAAAACATGGTGTTATAATATCGATTACTTAGGACTTTGTAAAGTTATATTTTTTATTTTAACCGGTGGTAAATCAGAAGAATTACTTTTATCTAGAAATGATGATGATGGTACATTCGCTATTACCAATTCTAATCTTGTAAATACCTCAACCTTTTCAGAATTCAATTCAATTTGGAACAACTTATTGTTATCATTATTAAACTCTTCAGATAATAGCGACAATAGTAATAATATTTTAAAACAACAAAGGGAAATTCTCGAAAATTATTTATCTTCAAATCAATCAAAATCAAAATCAATTAAAAGCTCATTAAGAATTCAAAATATTAAATTATTTGAATCAATGAAATCAAAATAAATAAATAAACAAATAAATGAATCATTATTTATTAAAAATAATATATATAAAAACAAAGTTATAATTTTATTTTATTTTATATATTAATTATTTGTTTTGCTTTTATAATTTGGCATGCTTTAACAATATAGTATTTACTGAGCTCTTCATTTTTTTCACAACCAACTCCTTTAATTGCCATACATCCAACTAAATATGCTGCACGTGGGTTATTATTATCTGCTGACATTTTATAATAATATAAACACTTCTCTTTATTTTTTTGAATTTTATAATATAAATGACCTACATGGTATTGTGCTTCTAAAACTCTATGGTTTAAAATAGCTTCACCATTGGTTAATTGAATTTTTGATGGATAGTTGGCTGCTATTTCACATAACTCTATTCCTTTTTCAAAATTATTATTATTACAGTAGATTAAAGCTAAATTAAAATAACCTATAAAATAAATGTATTAATTAGTAATCATTATAATTTTTTCTTTCTTTTTTTTTTTTTTTACCTTTTGCGCTGTCATTATTTATTGTTTTGTGGAATAAAGATACTGCAATTCTGTATTCATTTTTATAATTTATATAAAACAAAGCGATTTCGCACAATAATCTATTTCTTATATATTCAATTGGGACTCCAAGCCTATTACTACATGATTTTAATAACTTTTCTGGAATAATACACCCATTTTTATAAACTATAAATCCAAATATTTTTTCCATTAGTTTTATATCAACCATGTTTTTCTTGTTCCTAATTCCAAAAAAATATTTATTAATGTCATTTACTGAGCATTTATTTGATAACCAATCATCTAAAAAATCCATCTTTTAAACTATTTATTTTTATTATTATTATTGTTATAATAAAAAAAAAATATTATTTTTTTTTTTTTTTTTTTTTTTTTTTCTTTATAATTTTTTTATTTATTTTAGTTATTTAAAAGTAATATTAATGATTATCTTTTTATTGTGTATTAAAAATGATTATACAAAATTTAAAAAAAGCATAATAAAAAATAATTTTTTCTCGATTAGGAAAAAAAAAATTTTATTTAGTTTTAGAAAAAAAAAATTATTAAATTTAATATGAATAAATTTAATAAAAACAAATATTAATGTTTGTTAAATTCCTTTTTAAAAGGTACTTTATTTTTGAATTTAATTTATTTATAATAAATGATTACATTAATTTATTTTAAATTAAAAAAAATTCGTATATCTAAAATTTATAATTGGGTAATATTCTGTGTTTATAAAGGTTACCTAAAATGATTTTATTGAGTCAGTAAAAAGTAATTAACCCTATAGTATGTTAAATATATATACCTACATTGTTTATATTTTTGTTGAATAGAGTTATAACTCTAATGCAATATAAAAAATATATAAAACCCATATTAATATTGAAGAAAAAATAATGATTCTACTTATAAGGCAACTATCTATTCCATATCTTTCCCATATTTTCAAACTATCTTTTTCATATTTATTGTCATCGTCTAATCTTTCTCTATTATTTATGCTATAACTTGAATTTGTAGGTTCTTCATCTTCTATAATTAATATAGTGGCCTCTTCTTTTTTATTCATATCATTTATTAATTATAGGTTGCTGTTTATATTTATTATTTATATATATTATTTATTTGAAAATTATTTCATTAAAAATTGGAAAAATAAATAAAATAAAAAATAAAAAAAAATAAAAATTAAAAAAAAAATTAAAAAAAAATAAAATTATTTCTTTTTTAATTATGATTTATAAATTAAAAAAAAAAAAAAAATTATTTCTTTTTTAATTTATAAATCATAAATAGATAAATAAATCTTATTTTATTGTTTTTTTCTTTAAATTATTAGGGGGATAGAGTGGAAGAATTGATTTATCACCACGCAATAAACCAATTTCAACCACACCTATCAAAAATTTGATATCAAAGTAATCACTATAATTAAATAGTTAACTTTGAACCAATATCAAAAGTGGTTCTATATCATAACAGTCATAAAAAAGAAAATGAAAATGTAAATAATTAAATTTATAACATTTTTGTTTTATGGTTATGGTATAAAATTAATTAATTATAAATTATAAAAAATAAAAAAATAATAAATTATTATTATTATAATAATTAAAAATTTCTTATTTTGTATAAAAAATCAAACATTGTTTATATATTTTTCAAAAAAAATAAAAATATAAAAAATTTTTTTTCATAATAATTTATTCATTAATAATTTTATTTATTTTATATGTATGTATTGAAAAATATTTATCAATTTATTTTTTAATCATTTACCAATTTTAATTTTTTATATCTAGAAATCAAATAATATGTTTGATTATATTTTAGTTATTGGGTTAATTTTTATAGGGATTGGTTTTTTCTATATAGCAATACATTGGTGCTTTAAAAAAGATTATGTTGCAATTTAACTAGAAAAAAAAAAAAAAAAGATAATATAATAATAAAAATAATAAATACATTAACTATAACCAAATTATATAAAAAAATTCAATAAAAATAAAATACTTATTTTTTTTTTTTTATAAAATTTTTATTTAATTTAACTAATTCACTAGTAATTTAATACTAATGATGAAACCAATCGATAAATATCGATAAAAAATATTGATTTATTATTTATTATTACATTATTACATTATTTAAAATTCTATTATATATTATTATTATTATTATTTTATTAAGAAAAACCTAGATCAACTGTATTTGCATTTGCTGTGATCGTGATTGTAGTCGTGTTGGATGGAGTATTGCTAAACAATGATTTTACATTTTCATTATCTCTACTATCACTTTTATCTCTGTATCTTTTATTATATTCTCTTTCTCTTGATCTATATCTATCTCTATATTCACATTTGTTTCTATATTTAATATCACAATCTCTTTCTCTTGAGCGGCCTCTATAGCTTATTAACTTTTCTCTATCTCTTGATTGTGATCTATCTCTTGAACGATCTCTATTTATTATATTATTTTTTCTACCATAATTTTTATTTTTTTTTCTTTCTCTTGAACGTTCTCTGTGTATTGATTTAAATTTTCTATGATTAATATTCTCTGTTTCCTCTTCACAACTTTGATTTTGTCTTAATACTAATGATAGTGAATGGGCAGAATTAACCAAATCTTCAATCAATATTCTATCACATGCTTCTTGATTTAAAACAAATGGCTGTTGTTGTTCATTTCGTAGTTGCAGGAATTTATCTTGTAGTAATTGAAGCTGTAGTTGTTGTTGTTGTTGTTCATATGTAATCTCTTTATCTGACATAATTTTTTAATTATGTATTTGTTATTGTTTTTATTATTTCTATTGTGTAAAAAAAAAAAAAAATGGGGATGAAAGGTGTGTTAAATAATAATAATAATAATAATAAATTAAAAATTATAAAAAAAAAAAATAAAATATAAATAATGTGGGTTTTTTTTTATGTGGGTGTGTTTACAATGAATAAAACTGTTTGTTTTCTTTTTTTTTAAATTTTTATGCTAAATTTAAAAAAATATTTTTTTTAATAATTTACCAAAATGAGATTACAATTAGATTTGATGTTTGTAAAAAGTAAGTGATTTCTTTAAAAAAAGATAATTTTCTACATAATAAAAAAATTTTATGCTCCCAAACAATATCACTATAATTTGGTATGTATACCTGAAAACTAATGGAGATTGAACAAAGAACAAATCTTACTATTTTAGAATCTATTTTTATTTTTATTTTTGTTTTATTATTCCTATTGATGATTTATTGATGTTTGTTTAAATATTTGCTTATATTTAAAAAAAAAAAAAAAAAAAAAAAATTTAAAAAAAAAAAAAAAAAAAAAAAAAAATTTTTTTTATAAAAATTGTTAAAAAAAAAGGAAAATTTAAATTTAATTTTTTTTTATAAAAATTTAATTTTAGATTTTTTTTTTTCTAAAATTAAATTTGTGTAATATATTTTGAATGGAAAGAGAAACAAATATTTTATTTTTTCTATGTTTTAGAAATATTATAATTAAAAAAGAGATATTTAGACAGATAAGAATTTTCAAGAAACACAATGAAACAGTATATCTATTTTCAAAATTAAAACTATTGGAACATCCATTCAGAGATTATATAACAAATCTATATCTTGACTTTAGGGATGGAAGTTTACCCTATTTTATCCCAGATTCGGTGAAGAAACTTACATTTGGGTCATTATTTAACAATTCATTAAAAGGATTAATACCGTATTATTGTGAAGAGTTGGTTTTAGGAAGCAATTTTAATCAAGCTATTGAACAAGGTGATTTGGCAAATCTTTCAAGTATAATATTTGGTAATAAATTTAATCAACAGTTTACAGGTTGTTGTGTTTTCCCTCCAACATTGAAGAGTGTAGTTCTTGGTAGTCGGTTTAATAAAGATATATTACCAGGATCAATGGGCAATCATATAGAAAAAATTACATTTGGTGGTGATTTTAATAAACAGCTTGTAGAGGGCTCCTTACCAGAATCAGTTACATCCATTACTTTTGGATGGGATTATAATCAACCTATACTCGAAAACTCAATACCAGCATCAACTAAAACAATTATATTTGGTGAATCATTTAATCAAATTATTAAACCAGGTTATTTAAAACAAATTGAAACCATTGTATTTGGAAATAATTATAATCAACCACTTTTACCCAACTCTATACCTGCTTCAACCACATCTATTACTTTTGGAAAAAAATTTGATCAACCAATCTCAACTGAATCAGACCCAGTTGGCATAATACCAGAGTCATGTACATTCCTCAAATTTGGTTTTAATTTCAATCAATCAGTTTCGACTATTGGTGCCATTCCTCCAAAAGTTAAATCTCTTATATTTGGCGAATGCTTCAATCAATCCTTTTCACCAGTTGGTTGTATACCGCCATTTGTAGAAACCATCATACTGGGTACTTATTATAAAAAAAATATTACACAGGATGAAATACCGATTAATTGCGAAATAAAAAAAATAAAATCTTCAAAATAATATTTTAAATATAATGGATAATTCATTTAATAACACAATCCACGACCCAAATATTTTATTAAAAAAGAGATATTTAGACAGATTAGGATTTTCAAGAAACACAATGAAACAGTATATCTATTTTCAAAATTAAAACTATTGGAACATCCTTTCAGAGATTATATTACAAATCTATATCTTGACTTTAGGGATGGAAGTTTACCCTATTTTATTCCAGATTCGGTGAAGAAACTTATATTTGGGTCATCATTTAACAGTTTATTAAAAGGATTAATACCGTATTATTGTGAAGAGTTGGTTTTAGGAAGCAATTTTAATCAAGTTATTGAACAAGGTGATTTGGGAAATCTTTCAAGTATAATATTAGGTATTAAATTTAATCATAAAATAAATAATTAATTTACCATATCAAATTGTTAAAATTATCAAAAAAAATAAAAATGTTTATTTTTATTTTTTCTCTGTTCTTTTTTTTTTTTTATTATAATATTAAAACAAAGGTAAAATAATAAATTTAAGAAAAAAAACTGAAAAAAGATATTTTTAAATTATTTTTTTTTTTAATTTTTATTTCTAAAAATTTTAATTATATTTTCAAAATTTTTTTTTTTTTTTTAATAAATTTATATCAACAAGCATATGTTTAGTTATAAATAAAATGGAAGAAAAGATATCAAATATTTTAGATTTATTCCCAAATTTAACCATTTCAACAGTAGAAAAATATTTAAAAGAAAATAATAATAATGTAGAATCCACAATTGATTATTTGTTAAATAATAATGTAGATGAAACCACCACCACCACCAATGTAAATATTAATAATACAACCTCAGAAACCAAAAGCAACTTGGATAATTGTGGAAAAGGATTTTCAGAAACCAACGAAAATGTTTATAATTTCAAATCAAAAGAAGATGAAGAGAATGAAAAATTATTTAAAGAGTTTATGAAGAATGAGCAATCTCAAAATGAAATAGCGAATAGAAGCAAATCCCACTATTGTGATATTTGTTTTATGGATTTACCAATCGAAGATTTCTATATTTTGGATGAATGTAATTTTAAAATTTAAATTTTACAATTTTTAAAAAACAAAATTTATTAATTTTATAAAATAAAAAATTTAGGTAATCATAAATTCTGTAATGATTGTTTAAGCACTCATTATACAATTCAAATTAGATCAGGTTATTCAAATTTAAAATGCCCTGCAAATTGTAAATATATTGTTAGTTATGAAGAAGCCAAGCATCTATTAAAGGGTGAAATATTCGAAAGATATGATGCTTTGTTATTATTGGCTCACTTACAAAAAGATAAAAATGTTTTAAAGTGTCCATACGTTAACTGTGGAATGAAAATGATTAAAAACAAAGACACTGTTGGTGATGTAGTTTGTCCAAACCCAGAATGTGAAACATCATTCTGTATAGAATGTAGAGAAGAATCTCATTTTGGCATCACATGTCAAGAATTAAGAGAACTCAAAATTGAACTTGCAGGTTATTTCTCTATCGATGAAGAAGATAAAAGAAAAAGAGAAGAAATACTCAGAAGTTTTAATTATGGACCAAATAAACACGCAAGATCTTCAATCAACAAAAGAATTTTCTTTGCTGGTAGATCCATTAGAAATAAAGAAGCTATGCAAAATAATATTCTTAAACTCAAAAACTCAAATATTAGAACCTATAACTGGATTATGAATAATACTATGATGTGCCCACATTGTTCCTGTTTAATTGAAAAGAGTTCTGGTTGCAATCATATCGACTGTTATTGTGGTATGTAGTCTCTTTTCCATCATTCTTGGATTTAAAAATCAATATTAACTTTTTTTTTTTTTTTTTTTTTTTTTTTTTTCTGTATACAGGTGGCAGTTTCTGTTTTGGTTGTGGTATTTCTGAATCAGAACACTATGGAGGCTTTCCATGTACATATAGATGTTAATGTGTAAAATATTATTTAATACTTTTTTTTTTATAGGTTAACCTATAAAAAATAAATAGAATAGAACGATCATTCCTTGTGGATTCTTGATAGTTATTTAACAAAGTTTATGGTATCATTTATTATTTTTGAATTTTAATATAACCAAAAAAAATAAATTCACGAAGCGTGACATAATAATTAATTAAAAAAATAATTTTTTTTTTTTTTTTAATTTATTTTTTTATTTAATTTATTTTTTTTTAAATTAAATATTTAAATTCAATATTTTTTTTTTTGTTTTTACTTTATTAAAAAATTAAACTTTAAAGAAAATAATTAAAATAAATAATAATAACAATGTCAGAAAAATTAGGAAATAATGTCGTAGATAAAAGCCTTGAAATTGATAAAGATGGAAATTTCGTTAGAACAAATAGTGCTTTCAGAGAAACAGTTTCTAAAGAACATCCAATTTATAAACCAGAAAAGGATAGATATCACTTATATGTTGCACTTATTTGCCCATGGGTATGTTAAATAAAATGAAAAAATAATATTAAATATTAAATTGTTATTAATTTTTTTTATTTTTTTTATTTTATATTTATTATAGGCACACAGAACTCTCATAGTTAGAGAGTAGGATTTAAATTATTAATATAATACTATTTAAAAAAATAAAAACTAATTAATTATCTTTTTTACAGATTGAAAGGTTTACAAGATGTTATTAGTGTTTCTATTGTACACTACCATCTTGAAAGATCAACAGGTTGGAAATTTTCAACAAAAGAAGGTGCCACAGTTGACCATATTAATGGCTTTGAATATTTAAAACAAGTTTATTTATTATCAAATCCAAACTATATTGGTAAAATCACCGTACCCGTATTGTTTGATAAGAAAACTAAAACCATTGTAAATAATGAATCAAGTGAAATTATTGTAATGTTAAACTCTGCATTCAATGAATTTTCAAAAACTAAAGAACAAGCAGAACTAGATCTATACCCAGTAGAGTTAAAAGATGATATTGATAAAATCAACGATTTAGTTTATAATACTGTTAATAATGGTGTATATAAGGTAAAAATATTTATTATTTAAAAATATTTTTAATATTATATATAATTAACTTTTTTTTTTTTTGTATACCATAGTGTGGTTTTGCAGAAACTCAAGAGTCATACGAAAACAATTACTATAAACTTTTTGAAAGTTTAGATTATTTAGAATCACTTCTTTCAAAACAACGTTATTTAGTTGGAAAAAAACTCACTTTGGCAGATCTTAGATTATTTGTAACCCTTATTAGATTCGATATAGCATACTATGGATTTTTCAAATGTAATAGAAATTTAATTAAAGAGTTTCCAGCCCTTTCAAATTATTTAAAAGAGCTCTATCAAATCCCAGAATTTAAAAAGACTGTTGATTTCCATCATATTAAAAATGGTTACTTTTTATGTGTTAATCAACAAAAAAGTGCAATTGTACCATTAGGTCCAAATTTAGATTATTTAAATCAACCTCATAATCGTTCAAATTTATAAATTAAATAAATAAATAAACTTTATAAATAATAAAATTAATTAATTTAAAAATAAAAGAAACAAATTGCAATAATTCATGAATTTTAATTTATTATTCAAACAGTTGTAACTCTTATCTTACTGTTTAAAAAAATGGGTGTTTAAAAAAAGATGTATAAACATTTATAGAATCTGCATCGATGAAAATACCTTCTTTAATTAAGTCCTCTCTTTTCTTTATACAATTGTTTAATTTTTTGATTAAAGTAAATACAAAATATTCAACTTAAAAATTTTTAAAAAAAAAAAAAAAAAAAAAAAAAAAAAATAAATATTTACCCCCCTTAAGTATTATGGAAAACCCCCTGTATAGAGATTCCAATTAAGTTTTAATCTCTTTATCTATTCTATTTCTACTTATTAATTCATTTCTTCTATTAACCGGATATGAATACCATCTCTATTAATAATTTTTAAATCTTCTTAATCATCAATTGATTATTTTTTTTTTTACTTTTTTTTTGGGGGGCAGATCACATTCCATAATACTTAAGAGGGGTTCTCCATAATACTTAAGGGGGGTTATATATTTATTTTTTTTTTTTTTTTTTTTTTTTTTTTTTAAAAATTTTTAAGTTGAATATTTTGTATTTAATCAAAAAATTAAACAAAGTTAGTTATAAAAAATAAATAACAATAACAATGATAGAAAAATTAGGAAAAAATACTGTGAATAATAGTGTATGTAATGTAATATTATTTATAAATATTTAATTTTAAATTTAATTAACTTTTTATTTATTTTTTATATTAAATATAATAGTGTGGTTTTGAAGAAACTCAAGAGTCACTTAAACTCGACCAGCAGAAGAAACTAGTGAATCAACATCCGCTATCTACTGATCAACAAAAAGGATCCTTAATATTTACTACCCATCCAAATATGGCGGTGGTGCATGTACCAGATTCGTTAAAAATAGACAGAACGCCATCTGCTGATAATTCTGAGTCATTGCCTTTGGCTAGCCATATTCGAGCTTCTAGCAAGAAACAACTAAGGCATAAAAGTCCACTATTTCTTGAAAAGACAATAAGAAGAGAATCGGTTCCAGCTACTACTTCTCCCCTACAACTAATAGCTAAAGGAGGACACTACATTGTGATTGATCATCCTTATGCCACAACAGCGACTGTAATAGTTAACATAACAAAGCTCTCCCTGGCAAAAATACCTTTGCTGCTTTCACCTGGGGCAGATGTAAAGAAACTTGCTGCATCGACCCATGACTACCAAAGAAATCGTATCAGTGTATGTTTACCTCAATTAGATCCGATAGGTAAAGGCTATGTGCGTATTGAAAAATATGGTCTACCAGGAGGCGCTGGAGGTATAGAGCTTGACACGGATATATTGATCACCCATGTTGAGACAGGTTTTAATTTTATAGGCATGTCTCATTCTCCAGAAATGTTCAATAGCTGGCGTCCTTTTTTGGATGAATTTTCTGCTACCCTCGCAAACATGTCCTTAAATTTGAGAGCAGTTTGTCCACCCATGTCTATCGATACCTATGATCCAGGTAACCATTGCAGTACCTTTGAGCGTATCGCTAGCAACGCTACTGGCAGAAAATTACGCTTTGAGCAGTATGGGAAAGCTTATCTACACATCGTATACCAAATCAGGGACAAGATTCAAAAAAAACAAAGCCTACTCATAGACCCAGCAGAATATCCGCCCCATTGTTATAGCGTAAGCTTACAACCTAACTTTTTTGGTTTGTTCCCTTTAGTTAGTGAACTTTCGAAACTCTACGCGACACGACTAGGAAGTAATGTTAGTATTGACCTTGGAAGGGTACTGTCTATCGCAGATGTAGAGGTTAGTTTTAACGATGCTTTTACAAACTTTGAAAAGAAAGTAGAAGATCGCCAAGAACAAATCCGAAAAACACTGGATAGGGTCAGTAAAGAGGTGGAAGAGATAGAGAATGATTTTTATTGTAAGAGGCAAGGATTGAACCTTTCAAATTCAAGCTGTGGGGATCTTATACAACACATTACCTCATTCAAGCAGCTAAGTATCTTATTGAACAAGAAATTATCGATTTTAGATGATTTAGTTGGGGCTGATGAAGCAAACAAGGTAAATAGAAAGTCGTTAGTAAACAAAGTTTCCCTTTTGCTAGATCAACTAGAAACTCTCTTACTGGAATTGGAGGAGAAGAAAAGAAATAGTTCTAAAAGCTATTCTATAAAAGCCGATGGGCTAGAGTTAAACCCAGGGAATTATGTTCTAAATAATCCGCATATGGCTGAAAATGTGATTAAGTTGTATAAAGCCTTAAAGGAGAAACTCCAAAATCATCATAATCCTAAAATACGTAATTTTCAATTTCAAGTAACCGGAGGGGATAGGTACAAGGGGCCAGATGGGAAACCATATTCATGTAGTGAACATACAATAGTTCCAGGTGCAGCTCCATCGGGTGCACATATGGAAGATAATGGTGCCAGAGCTGTAGACATAAGGATAAAATTATCAGATGGGTCGGATATCATACCTTTAGATATAGTTGAGGAACTCACAAATAAGAATTTGTATAAGTATACAATGCTTTTTCTTGATTATAAAGCTTTGCCTAAAATTTATCCAGATAGACATTATCATTTTCAATTACCAAATACAACAGAATATGGAGGTGGTAAAAAAAAATAAAAGATGTATAAACATATATAGTATAGAGGGTGCAAGGTTTCTGAATAATCTTAGAAATTATAGTGGATATGGACTTCCTTGTGCCTTTCATATAAGCACAGAAGTACCAATAAACTATAAAATATAATAATAAAAAGAAATAAAAATACAATACTTTGCGTTTAATTTATCATTTTACACAGATTTATAACTATCTTACTGTTTAAATAAGAAATATCTAAAATGTGTGTTTGAAAAAAAATATATATTTAATTTATTTGGAGTTTTACGTATATTGTGTGTATATATTGTGTGTATATGTATATGCGAATGTTGATGTATATAAAACAACTTTAATTTTTAAACTCTTCCTCTCATATTACCTGTTTATATAAATTAAAATAAATTTTGTATTAGCAAATTATATTATTTATCGTGTATTGTGTTAAATGAAAAAAAAACTATGATACTTTACCATGACCTCTAACATTATCATCTTTATAATCATCGAACCTTCTTTTTTCTCTGAGTTTATCGTCATCATCAGCTTCGTCATCTAATTGTTCATCAGTTTTTTCTGGGGCTTCACTTTCTTTACCACCTTTTCCTTTTACCATACCACCATTGTGCATTTCGATTTCAGCGGCTTGTTCAGGTGTCAAAGTTGGGAGAATATGAGAAGGTCTAAATACACGATCCAACATAACTCTTCTACCATCTGGAAGGATTTGAAAGTTTCCAATATTACTTTTAGCTGGCATTTTTGGTGGAGGAACTACACCACCATTTTGTTCTTTTAAAACTTCAACTTGAGAGAGTAAATTGTATTCGAGATCAATTGTTTCTAATAAACCTACTGCTTTGAAAACACCCTCTTTAATTAATAAAATTGAAAAATCTCTATCTAATTCTTCATCACCTGTATCTGACTCTTCAATTTCACCACCACTACCAGAGTTTTTTAATAATTCCTCTCTTTTCTTTATACAATATTCCAATTTAGTTTTAATCTCTTTATTTCTTCTATTTCTACTTATTAATTCATTTCTTCTATTAACCGGATCTGCTTTTCCATCTCTATTAATAATTTCTAAATCTTCTTTATCAATTAACTCTAATCTTTCACAATCCTCTAAAAACATTTGAATTTTTTGCTATTTTTAAAAAAACATAATTAATTAATATAAAAAAAATAAAAAAATAAAAAATATATAAATAAATTAATAAATACCTTTGATGTTTTTAAAAATTTTAATCTATCTGCACCTGTAATTTTAAGATATAATTCTGCTAAATAATATGGGATTAATAGATACCTATATAATAAAAAAAACTATTAATATATAGTTATTTTTTAATTTATTATTAAATTTATTACTTTAATAAATCAGTTCTAATATCCTCTAAATCTTCATTCTTTGAAAAAATTTGTTGTTTAGTTGCATTCATTGAGGAGGTGATGAAATGGGCAATGGCTTGTTTTGCTTGTTTTTGGAATTCTGGGTCACTTGTTGACATTGAACTATTATCAAGTTCGATGAAATGTTTTTGTCCCATTGTAAATGATTCGAATAATGTTAACTCATGAAGGCTACCACTACTACTATTATTAGTTGTAGTGGTCGAAGTTGTGGGTTTATATTTATTGTCTTCCATATTTAGTAAATTATTTATAATTAAAATTATAATAAAAAAATTATTTAAAAAAATTAAAAAAAAAAAATCAAAAAAAAATCAAATTTTAAAAAAAAAAAAAAAAAAAATTATTTTTTATTTTATTTTTTTTGAATCCCAACAAAAATAAAAAATAAAAAAAAAATAGTTTTGTTTAAAAAAAAAATTGTTTTGTTTAAAAAAAAACTATATTTTTTCTATCAACCATTTTTTTTAATAATAATAAATAATAACAATCAAAAACTATATAGAAATAATAATATCAATAACATAGGGGTTTTTTTTGTTTTCCTATTTATTTTTAGTTTTTTAAAACGAATAAATAAAAATATTATTACTTTTCAAACTTAAAAAAATTGGTGATTAAATTTGGAGAGGTGACATCTCTTTGCAAATTTTTTGTTTTTTCAAAAAAATTTAATCAAAAATAATAAAAAATAAAAAAAATTTTTTATAAAAATTATAATTTTTTCACTTTTTATAATAAATAATAAAATAATAATAATAAATAATAAAATAATAATATATCTAAATTAATTTATGGTTTTTTAAAATAATATATACTTCCTTTAATTAATATCTATAAATTAATTGGAATTTAATTATTTATTCTCTTTTTTTTTTTAAAAAAAAAATTAATCATTGCCCCAAAAAAACAAAATTGTAAAAACAAATAATAGTGATAATAAAAAAAAATTATTTATATATAGTTTATAATAATAGAATTAATAATTAACCTATAGGAATAAAAATAATAATATATTTTATATTTTTTTTCATTTTTTCTCTCTTACTCATATAAAAACACTTTCATTTAATTACCACCTCACAAAAACTATAAATATATATATTTTTTTTTAATTTTTTTCTGCGCCCATTACACACAAACACACCCATTACCACCGTTGTTAATTTTCACAAATAATAAAACAAATATAATATTATTTTTGTAATAATTTTAAAAAATCGAACAATATAAATAACACACCCCCACCCACCAAAAAATAATATTGTTTAAACACACAAAACAAGATTTTTTGAATAGTAAAGAGAAAATTATTTTCCAAAAAAAAAAATATATTATATAAAATACATATAATTGGAATAGTATTAAATATTAATAAAATATCAATAATAAAAATATAATAAAAAATAATAGATTAAGTTTTTTAATTTTTTTTATATTAATTTAAATAATTTAAATATTATTAAAAAAAAAAAAAAAAAAAAAAATAGAATTTTAAATCTAAAAAAAGCAAGATATATAAATAAAATTTTATTTTTATTTTTATATTTTTTGACTTCTATAAAATTAGAATAAAAAAAAATAAAATAAAAAAGATAAATATACATATAAAAAAATGGAAAATAACAACAATAATAATAAAAATAATAATATGTATAATAATATAGGTTCACCACCAAATTATAATAATAGAAATAATAATATGAACTATAATAGTCCCAATATTCCAAATAATAATAATAACCCAAATTATAACTATAATAATATGTATAATAATATAATGTATAATAGCGATATAGATAATGGCAGTAATCATTATCATGACCTTTTAATAAACAATAATAATAGTTTAAAATCTAAACGTAGATTTAAATTTAAAGTTTTATCTTTTGTAATTGCAATCTTTTTCATTATATCTATAAGTTCCTTGGTATTTTTTATTTATTTTAGTACCGAGCAATTGGTAAGATTTAACCCCACGCTAAAAAAAAAAAATAAAAAAAAGATATTAACTATTTATTATTTTATATAGACATTTAAAGGATTTAAATTTATCGAAACTAAATGTATATTAGAATCAACAAGATATACATCCAGAAATGAAACAAGCGGAGACTGTCAAGTATTGAACGAAAATGAATGGTGGTATCAATATGACAAAGATTTTTATAAATTTAATAATGGAAATGCAAATATAAATTACAGTAGCAGTTATAGTTATGGTTCAATAGTTGGTTCAGAGGATACCGATAATTTTAGCGACAATAGTGATAGTATTGGAAAGCACAAGAAGAGTAATATAGTTTGCTTCCAGGGTATATTTAATGTTAGTTTTAACGATACAGAAAAGCAATTATTAAATGGAGATATTTATGGAATATGGAGTGCAGACTTGGAAAGAATAAAATCATATTTACATTTGGTCAAGGGTGGCGTAGAACAAACTTGTTTTTACAATAAACACGACAACAAAGAAATAATTTGGATTAGACCGCCCTCATCACTTTTTAATATATTATTAATTGTGTTGTTAGGTTTGGTTTCCTTATTATCGTTTATTTTATTTATTGTAATTTGCAGAAAGGCTTTTGGGCCGTTATCAAAAGAAGAGGAGAAGGCTAAACTATTGTCAAACTCAATATATTATCGTTATACAAGTGATAATGTTTATAATTTAGAAAATAATAATAATAATAATAATTAAATAATTAATAGTTAAATAGTTAAATAATTTCAAAATAATATAATAATCACAAGTTTTTTTTTTTTTAGTTTTTAAATTTTTTTTAATTATAAATAAATAAATTTATAAAAAAGTTATAAAGATTTTTTTTTATTTATAAACAAATTGTTTTTTTTATTATTTGTATTATTATTATTATTTGTATTTTTATTATTTATTTATTAATTTATTAAAATTTTAATAAATTTAAATTATTAAAACCATTGATAAAATTAATAAAATTAATGTTGTTGGTAAATTTAATTTTATAGCAAAAGAGGAGTCTGTTTCATCTACGTGTGGTGGTTTGTAGTGAGCTGCAGTGATTGTGGAGATATAGAGTGTACCTTGATGAATACCACCTAAATCAGTTTTAACGACAACACCACCTATTTTGGCACCATAGAAATCAACTGCTAAATCATTCCAAGGAATTGATAATTGTACCCATTTGTTTGAAGGGAAAATGCCACCTACATATTCTGAAAGTGATAAACATGGGAATTCACCAGTACCAGCTTCATTTAAAAGACAGATCTTGCAATCTAAAGGTCTTGTGTATGTGTGTTGTTCTAAATCTTCTTGGCCTTGGTAAATATAAGCATTATCTGGATAGTAGTAGAGATTGAAAATCATACCATCATATTCATCAATACCAACACTTCCATTCATAAAGTTCAATTGTAATCTATTGATGTTTTCTATTTGATATTCAATAGTTGGTTTGTTTTTATATTTCATTGCGGTACTTGCAAAGTTAACATTAGCAACGGATTGTGATGGGTCACCATTTCCTAATTTACCGTTTTTGAAGACTTCCATTTGATCGTTTGGTTCCATACAAATTGTTCCATTTGAAAATAATACATCATCAAAATAAGCCATATCCATGTATCCATCATAGGTTGGTTGGATCATAAATCCATCCATTAAAGTGTTATTTGGGTTAACAACTTGGAATGATTTCATTGGAATAATTACTTTGTACCAATGCTCTTTTTGAATACCACCAATTACAAAGTCACCTAAATTAACTGATGCAATTTTGCTTCTTTTATATGTTAAGTAAACTGCAAGACTTTGACCACCTCTGAAGCCACCATTCATCCAAAACATTAAATACTTGTGTCTTTTAATTGGGAATGATTTTCTATTTGAGAAACGTAAGTTTTTAGCATATTCATTGAAACCAAAAGCAATGTTATAACCGATTCTTTGGAAATAGATACTTTGTTCTCTATAGGTACCGTTTGATAATTCAGTTGTCCATCCTTCTTCTTCATTTAAAGTTTCATTGAAAATCCAATATGGTCTATAGGTGGTACAGTTGCTTGAGAAGTATTTGTAAGATGCTTTTTGAGGACCCCAGTTGGTTTCTTCATCAGATTCAGAGTCAGTTGGGCACTTGACAGAAACATAGTTGAAAGTTTTGATGGTAGCTTTGGTTGGTAAAACTGTTTCTTTAATTGGTTTGTTTTCATTATTGGTAACAGAGATACGGAATCTTAATGGTGGTGGTGGTGATTTTGGACCTGCATATTTAGTATTGATTTCACCTTGAAGACGAGTATTGAAATACCAAACCAACATTTCTTCAGAATATACAAAGGTATAGTTATTTGCAATATCAAATGATGAACCAGAAATGGTATTTTTGAATTCAGTTACTTTACCATATGATGTGTAACCATATTTGAGGGTTGTTGTGTTACCTTCAATCTTGAAAAATATATCGCTGTATTGACCTTTGCCACCAGTTGAAGCATAGATTTTAGTTACAGTATTTGAAGCTGGTGAAGCAGCCATTACAACAGAGTAGGTACCATATGTCATTTTTGAAGAGTGTTCTACTTCAGCACATGAGTATTTGTGACCAAGACAGCCAGTTGGGCAGGTTTTACTTTCCAATGCTAAGGTCATACCTTTTGCGCTACCTCCAATGTTTTTTGGTGAAAGGAAACATTGATATGGATCGTCATTTACACTACTGATAACACCATTGAATGAATCGTATTCTTCTTCTACTGATACATCATCACCGCATAAATATAATTCTTTTGGATCAAATGCTTTAGGTTTTGTGGAAGGTTTACCTTTGCTAGGGACTGATGATGTTTCGTCATCGAATGAATTTGCAGCTTCTGATGATAAAGGTGGAGTATCGGATTCAACATTTTCTACTTCAGAACTTTCTACTTTAGTTGGTTTTGGAGTAGTTTTACAATTAACAAAGTTTATTATTAATGTAATTAAACAAAATAATAATACTATTTTTAATTTCATATTATTATTTAAATTTAATTTTTAGTTATGATTTTTTTACAACACAATTTTTTTATTTATTATTATTATTATTATTATTATAGTATAGTAATATTATTTATAGTAATTTTAGTTTTTATTAAAATATATTGTTATTATTATTTTTATTGATTTATTATTAAATTAAAAAATTACTTTGAGTTTTTATCTCTTTTTTTTTTTTTTTATTATTTAATTTTTTTAATTTAATTTAATAATTTATAAAAAAATCAATTATTATTATGATTTTTATTTAAAAGATTTATATTATCGAAACCAATAGACCACATAAACAAGCTTAAGCTTTGCTTATAAATAAAAATAATTATTAATTATATTTATAGTTAATTATGAATCATCATCATTATCATCATTCTATAAAAATAAAATAATTTTATAATTAATTATTGTTTTCATGGTTATTGTGTTTCTATTATTTTTATTATATATGATTAAATATATAATACAATGTTAGTGTATATAAAAAATATCTATTGTTTTTTTTAATAAATTATTTTTTTAACACTATCTATTTAACAAATAAAAAAATTTAAAAAAAAAAAAAAAATTAAAATAAAAAAAAATTTAAATTAATAGATATATCTTTTTATCAAAGATTATATTTATATTTTAAATTTTTTATGTATGTGTGTTAATTATTTCTATAACAAAATAAATAATGTTACTGATTGATTGATTGATAAAAATTTGAAATATCTTTAATTATTTTATTTTTTTTATAAAATTTTTTTTTTTTAAATTATATTATTATATTATTATTTTTATTATTATTATTTATAATAATAAGAAAATTGTTGAAATTGATAAAATTGTAATATAGAATAAATTATTTAATTGTACAGATTTGATAGCAAAAGAATCCAATAGTTTTTCTTTTTCTGGTAATCTAAAGTAAACTAATTCGATAGTTTGGATAACAAGTGAACCTTGATGAATAGTTGCATCCATATCATCTGGACATTTAATGAGAATACCGCCAATTTTAGCACCATCAATAACATTGGCAGAAAGATCGATCCATGGAATAGATAAAGTGAACCATTTATTAGTTGGGAATAAACCACCAACGTATGATGACAAATCTAAACAAGTATAAGTTGCGATACCATCACTTGTTAAAAGACATACTTCTAATCTTAAAGGATTTGGTTGATTGTTAAAAGTTGAACCACTGAAAACATAGTCTGTATCTGGGATGTATTGGAATTTGAAATTTAATGCATCATAAGTTTCGAGTGAACCATTTTCAAAATTAATTTGGATTTTACTATCTACTTGAATTTGATATTCGAGTGTAATATTCTTTCCAGTGCCAAAACGTTGACCATTGAAATCTACGTTACCAATACTGTTTTTAATTTGGAAACTTTCTTGTTCAATTGGATCTTTATTGTTCATACGACCATTCTTGAAAATTGGGAGGCTATTTAATGTACTGACACATCTTGATCCATTTGAAAAAGCAACGAAATCAAAGAATACACGATCCATATATTGATTATGAGTTGGTTCAATCATAAATCCATCCATTAATTGATTTGGTTTTTCTTTTCTTAATTGGAATTTCTTCATTGGGATAATAATTTTGGACCATTGCTTCTTTTTAATACCACCAAGGATGTAGTCATTTAAATTGATGGTCGAGATCTTGAAATTACCTAATGCTAAATGAACCCAAAGAGTTTGACCACTTTTATTACCACCATTTACCCAAAAAGTAAGATAACGGTGTCTATCGACTGGGAATGGTTTTTTGGCTTTGAAACGAAGATAGTTTTTACCATAGTTAAATGCACATGAAATTGAGTACTCGAGTCTTTTAACATCAGTATTATTTGGGCTAATTGTAGTTGGACCGAGAATATCCCAATCAGCATCCATAGTGCCATTATAAATAATCATTGCATCTTTGGTTGTACAATTTCCTACATAGTAGTCATAGTATGGTTTTGGAATGAAATTTACTTCACCTTCTTCATCGTCGATACATGGTCCTGGTAAATAATCAAAATCTTGAACATAAATGGTGGATGGTAAATTGGAAGCACTAACTTTTCCATTGTAGTTTTCAACACTATACAAAACACGGTAAACAATTGGTGGAGTAATAACACTAACATTCATGTAGAGAGTTTGGAAATTCTTTAGCTCCTTACCGTTTGCAAAAAATGCAAGAGAGAATTGAGTATATAAAATAGTATAGTTTGTCATGGTATCTTCAAAACCTTTATCTAATTGTACTTTAGCTGTTGTTTCTTCATTTCTTTCACCATTTTGGGTGAAACCGACATGTGCCATTGTAGTATTACCCAAAATCTTGAAGAAAACATTTGAATACTCTTTGCCATTAGTTGATGAATCTGTTTCTAAACTAATATAAATTTCTTTAAATTTTAAAAAAAAAAAATAATTTTAAAATAAAAAAAAATAATTTTAAAATAAAACATTTGTATTAATATTAATAATAAAAACGAAATTATGCTATAAAATATACTTACTTGTATTTGAAACTCTTCCACCTTTGATCATAATTGAATATGAACCATAACCCATATCTTGATTTATTTCAATTTCTGAGCATGAATATTTGTGATCAAAGCAATCGGCTGTGTCACATTTGTCAATAACTAGTGGTGAACCTTTGGAAAGCTTTGTGTTTTTACCAAAAGGATTTTTTAAAGCACAAGAATATGGGTTTATATCAATTGAGGTTTCTCTGTATTCAAAAACGCTGAGTGAAACAGCTGTATTATTACATTCAATAATATCTCTTCCATTAATTTTTTCATGACTAACACTGCTACTACCACTGTTGCTCTCACTATCACTTTCATCCACTGAAACTGGTACATTTGAATCCGAGTGAAGATCTGGTACTTTGGTTTCCAATGCTAATTTACCATGGTCATCTGAATCTTGTTTATTACAGTTACCAAACTCTATAAAACTTGATAACAATAGTACTGATAATAATAATATAAATAATTTTTTATATTTCATTTTGAAAATAAAAACTATAATCTATAAAAATAAAAAAATTAATAAAAATTGATATTTTACATTTAACCTATATTTTTAAAATTACCTATTTTTTGTTTTTTAATTTATTTTTTATCGATATAATCTGTTTGCTATTGAGGCTATATGTAAATGTGTTTTTTTATTAAGTTAATTTTAACAATGTAGTAATACAAATAAAATGTATCTATAGAAATAATAATATATTCTATTTTTTTTTTTTAAAAATTTTAAAAAAAGAATCCAAACAAAAAAAAAAAATATTAAAAGAAAAAGAATAGTCCATTTCAATAAATTTCTTTAAACACACAACACACTACACACACATAATGTAACACACACCACAATGAATTTTAAAAAAAATAATTGTTGTGGGTATTTTTAAATTAGAAGAGTGTGGGATATTTTTAAAAACAATATTTTATATATATTATAATAATAAAATTGGTATGGAAACTATTTAAAATAATTATTGCTGTAAATGAGTAAAATATTTGGTAGCGTGTTTATATTGTGTGAAGATAATAGTGGGTGAAAATGGGGGAAATTTATACCATTTATATAATTTATAATTTTCTTTAAAAAAAAAAAATAATAAAAAAAAAAAAAAGATATAAATAAAAATAAAAATAAAAATAAAAAGTGTGAGTGTTTAAATAAAATAAGATTTATATGGCTTTTTTTTAATTTGTTATTTTAAAATTAAACTATTTTGTTTCATTCTTGCTCTTAAACTTAATTTTAAAAAAAAAATTTTTAAAAAAAAAATCTATTTTGACTCAGTTTGACCAAGTCATTATATCTTAAAATAATTTATATAAAAAGTTAAATTAATGATATATAATATCTGAAGAGGTTTTTATAACAATAAAGAAGAAAGGAGTTTATTTAAGAGTTATTTAATTAAAAAAACAAATTATTATTATAATTTTTTTTTTTTTTTTTTTTTTTTTTTTTTTTTTTTTTTTTAATTTTGGGCATCCCAAAAAAAAATTAAAAAAAAAATTAAAAAAAAAAAAAAAAAAAAAAATTTCAACACAGTTTTTTTAATTTTTTTTTTATATTTATTATTTAATATTATTTTTTAATTATTAATCAGAAAAGATTCATAAACTAACTATATACCTTAATATTTGTTTATTTCTTTTTAATTATAATTATTTCTATATTTCAAAATTAATATTTGTTTTTTTAATATTTAAAGAACTACAGTAACACTACAAACCATTTTTTATATATAAATCCACCACCATATTATAATAAATAAATATAAAATATAAATATAAATATAAATATATTAATATAAATAATGTCAGAAACCACCGCCACTACAAATGTTCAATCACAAATTCAACCACAACAACCAACCATTGGTGTTGTAAGAGCTGTAAACTCTGGCGATTCATTAGTTATTCAAGATTTAAGATCAGCTGATGCACCAAGAATCGAATACTCATTATCACATTTAACAGTACCACGTTTAGGTTATCATGGTACAGGCGATAAACCACCAACCAAAGATCTTGTAATATATCATGTTTACATAATAATTTATATTCAGATTTAATTAATACTAACTTTTTTTTTTTTTTTTTAAATACAAATTATTATTTAGCCATTTGCTTGGGAAAGTCGTGAATATTTAAGAAAAAGAGCTATTGGTAAAAAAGTTCACTTTTATGTTGATTATACATCACCACTTCAAAAACAATTCATCACAGTTTATCTTGCTGATGACAAAGAAAATAGCTTAAATAAACAAATGATTGCCTCAGGCTGGGCTGCATTATATAGATCAACTTCTGGTAAAGAAAATAAGAAACCGTATGTAATAAAAATACCAAAAAATCCCAAATTAAAACAATTATTAATATTTTAAAATTTTTTTAATTTAATTTACTACAACAAATATAATAACAATAATAATTACAGAGAATATTTAAATTTAATTCAATTAGAAGGCGAAGCAATTAAAAATGAATTAGGTATTCACAATAAAAATCCAATTGCAATCCAAAATTCAATTCGTCCAATCCATACAATCAATTCATTTGATCTTTTTAATAAATTAAAGGATAAACCATTAACAGCAGTTGTTGAACAAATTAGAAATGCTTCAAGCTACAGAATTACAATTTTACCATCATTCCACCAAATTCAAATCCAATTATCTGGTGTCCAATGTCCAGGTTATAAAAAAGATAATAATGGTCAAATGCAACCAGAACCATTTGCAGTTGATGCTGAATCTTTCATCTCCAAAAACCTTTTACACAGAGATATTAATGTCAATCTTGATACTTTTGATAAGCAAGGTAATCTTTATGCTACCGTTAAATGTGGTGATAGAGATGTTTCAGTTGAACTTTTAAAGAATGGTTTAGGTTCATATGTTGCCTGGAGTGGTTCCTCACGTTCTGCCCCAGATCAATTAGCTTTAAAACAAGCTGAAGAATCAGCCAAAGGTCAAGGTTTAAGAATCTGGCATCAAGCTCAACAATCATCATCATCATCATCATCATCATCATCATCATCTGGTGCTGAACAATATCCAAAGGAAATTAATGGCAAAGTTGTCGATATTGGTAACAATGGCCAAATTGGTATTTTAACTGATGATAGAAAAGACTATAAAGTAGCTTTAGCTAGTATTAGAGTTCCAAACTTTACCAAACCAACCGATAAAGAAGATGCCAACACTAAATTTGAAAGATATTATGCCTATGAAGCTAAAGAATGGCTTAGAAAGAGATTAATTGGTCAAAGAGTTACTGCTAAACTTGAATTCATTCGTCCAGCCATTGCCTCTAACAATCTTCCAGAAAAACCATACTATAGCGTTTATTTAGGTAAAGGTAATGTCTCTTTGGGTCTTGTCGAAGCTGGTCTTGCCCGTCTCGCTGAACATAAAGGTGCTGATAATCGTGCTATCGACTATGAAGCTTTAATCACTGCTGAAAACAAAGCCAAAAAGAAACATGCTGGTCTTCACTCAAATAAAGATAATGCTCCATCCTACAATGTTAATGATTGTTCAGCTGACGATAAAAACTTAAAAGCCAAAGCTCAAAAACTCCTTCCACATATCCGTGGTCTCACTTTAACAGGTGTTGTCGATTACGTATTCTCTGCTCAAAGAATTAAACTTTTCATTGAAAAAGAATCATGTTTAATTAATTTCACTCTCAGTGGTATTAGAGCCCCACGTAGAGATGAAAACGAAGAACTCTCAAATAAAGCTCTTGCCTATAGCCGTGAACATCTCCATCAACACGATGTTACAGTCCATATTGATGACATTGATAAAGGTGGTAATTTCATTGGTAATTTAATTATTGGCAATAAGAACTTTGCTCTCTCACTTGTCGAAATGGGTTATGCCTCAATTTATGACCCAATGTCCCGTCTTAGTGATTTTGCTAGATTCCAAGAGGCTGAAGAAAAAGCCAAAGCTAGTCGTCTCAATATTTGGAAAAACTATGACCCAGAAGAAGAACAAAGACTTGAAGATCAAAAGAAAGCTGCTGAAGAAGAAAAGAAACAACAAACCAAAGCTGAAACTGGCGAAGCCTATATTAGGGCCATTGTTTCACCAACTGAAATCTACCTTCAATTCTGCAATGCCAAAAACAATGATATTGAATCACAATTAGAAGCATTAAACCTTAATGAAGAATCAAATGTCGCCGTACCAAAGGTTGGTGAAATTATTAAATACAAATCATCACACGATAACAAATGGTATAGATCAAAGGTTTTAGCAGTTATTGATAATAAAGTTCACGTTTTATTAATTGATATTGGCGAAAAAGAATCATTCAACCAATCAGAATGTAATACTCGTGCCCGTACTCTTAATGGTAAACTCTCATCACTCTCACCACTCGTTACTCTTGTTAAATTAGCTGCCTGTAAGAATCCAAGCAATGACGATATCTTTAATGATGCTATGGACTTTATGGAAAAGGAATATTTCGATCTTAAAGTCAAAGTTAATGTCATTAGAGAAATCGATGGTGTTTTACATGTTACCCTCTCTGATCCACAAGGTATGATCAATGGTGAACTCATCCGTAATGGTTTAGTCCGTCTTGACCGTTCAACTAAATTATCATCTGTCATTCAAGCCCTCGAAGATGACGAAAAGAAAGCCAGAACCAATAGAATGGGTGTTTATACTCATGGTAATATTGACTCTGATGACGAAGATGATAAACCACGTAATAATAATAATTTTAAAAAAGGTAAAGGTAAACCACAACCAAGAAAATAAAATAATAAATAAACCAATAAATATAGAATTTTATTTATAATTAATTATATAATAAAAAAAAAAAAAATTTTTTTTTTTTTTTTTTGAAAAATAAAAAAATAAGCAATTAAACATTTCAACTATCAGTTTTATATTTAACAAAAAAATATATGCAAAAAATTATAAAATATTTTATTTTTTCCTTTTTTTTCGCATATGCAAAAAAAATAATAAATAATTTTAAAATTATAAATATATTATATATTTATTTAAATAGCTTGAATTTCTTGCTGCTCTGGCTCTGTTGTATTTGCAGTTGGTTCAACAGTACCAGCAGTTTCAGTAATATTAACAGTTGGTTGCTGAGAAATAAAAGCAACAGTGAACTCTTCTTTTTCTTTTCTTTCTTTTTCTTGTTGTTGAAGAATTTCATCCCTGTATAACTCAATCATTTTTATATCCAATTTACGTGACTGAACATTTTAAAATAAAAATTTATTAGTAATCACAAATAAATATTTATTTTTTGTGTGTTTTCAAAATTTTGTCACATTGAAAAAAAAAAAAAAAAAAAATTTATTTAAAATTTTAGATATTTTTTTTTTACTGTGGTAAAATTTTTTAATATTTAAAAATAATGGTGTGTTCATAAAAAATAATACATACCTCGTCATATCTACTTGTATATAATTCTAAGACCCATTTTTCAATTTTCTTTTGGAAACCTAAAACTGAAACTAATAATTCTACTGTACCAGTTTGGGTGAATTGACACCAATTTGGATTTTGTGGTGAAACTTCATAAACTGTCATATCTATCATTTTGGCTTTGCTACTTAATGTTTCATTAGTTGTTTTAATTGTAATTTTTCTAGCTTGTTTATCATAATATGACTCTTCAATAAAATATGAAAAATGAATATCAAATAACTATGTGGATAATAAAATTAAAAATAATATTAGTACCATTTTTTTTTTTTTTTTTTTTTTTTTTTTTATTAATTGATACTTACAGTTTTAAACCAACCTGGAGCATCAACATCTAATTTAGTTCTTCTAACTGACTTTACATTACCATTATCTTCGACTACATGCTCTGTAATTTCTGAATCTAAAATAAATGGGAATAATGGATGTTTTGGAAATCTTTTATTGTAAACTTGCCAATAAAATTCAAGAGGACATTCATATGTATATGGTGGGAAAGTATGTGTGGCTGGCATTGTTTTATTGTTTTTATTTATTTATTTATCTGAATTGTATTTTTACTAATTTTTTTTTTTTTTCCTATTGCTAAAATTATAAACTTTAATAAAAACTATAGCTGTTGTGTTTAATATGCTTTGATAAAAAAATTAAAAATAAAAATTTTATTAATTTTTTTATTTTTTAATTTTTTTTTTTATAATTTTAAAAAAAAAATTTATTATTTTTCCAACCATTTTAAAAAAAATAAAAAAATAATTTAAAAAAAAAAATTAAAATAAAAAAATTTTAAAAACGAAAGAAACGAATAATTGTTTACTAGTTTAATATTGATTAAATTTATAAACTAATAATAATACTAACTTTATAAATATGACAAACACTAAAAAACAAAATAAAAAAAAGCAACAACCAGCTGTTGTTAAAAAAACACAAAATAAAAAAATTAATAATAATAAAAATAATGAAAAAAACAATAATAAAAATAATAATAAAATAATAAATAAAAATAGTAATAAAAATAATGGCAATAACAAAAATAAACTAAAAGTTATTTCAAACAAAACAAATAATATTTTAAATAATAAAGAAAAAAAACCCATTAAAGAAAATATTGAAAAAGAAGAGGAAGAGGACAATGAAAAGGAAGAAATAGAAAACAACGATTTAGGTGAAGAAGATGATGAAAAGTATAATTTATGGAACCCAAAACCAACAAAACCAGTTGCAGCAACCACCAATAAAAATAAAAAAAATAATAGTAGTTTACAAAACGAAATGAGCGAAACATTAAAAGGCTCAAGATTTAGATGGTTAAATGAATTATTATATGTATCACACAGCAAAGAAGCATTTAAAGAATTTTCACAAGATAGATCATTATTCGACCAGTATCACAGCGGATTTAAATCACAAGTACAATCATGGCCAATTAATCCATTAGATATTATTATTGAAGAGTTAAAATCAATTAAACAAAGAAAAAAAATTGCAGATCTTGGATGCGGTGAAGCACAATTAGCAGAGAAACTAGGCAAACAACATGAAGTACAATCATTCGATTTGGTTGCAGTTAATGAAAGAGTTACAGCATGCGATGTCTCAAATTTACCATTAAAAGATGAATCCATTGATATAACTGTATTTTGTTTATCACTAATGGGCACTAATTTCATGGATTTTTTAAATGAAGCCAAAAGAATTCTCATTAGTAATGGCACTTTAAAAATTGCAGAAATCGAATCTAGAATTACAAATATCAAAGTGTTTATCGAAGAAGTAGAAAAGTTAGGTTTTAAATTAGTAAAAAAGAATGAAAAAAATGAATATTTCACTTTATTTGAATTTACAAAAATAGCAGATAAAAATACTGGTGCCAATAAAAACAATAAAAAATTAAAGAAAATCCAACAAAACAATCAAGATAATGAACCAATTTTAAAACCATGTTTATATAAAAAAAGATAAAATAAAGTAATAATTGTAGTAATTAATTTTTTATTAATATACAAAGTTTATTTTTTTAAAAAAAGTAATTTTACAAAAAAATTAATATTATTATATTTTTTTGTTTTTTTTTTTCTATATATATAACTATTCGATTATTATTGTCTATTCGAGTATATCGTTGTGTTCTATTAAAATATTATTATTGTTTGATTATTATATTATGTTTCGTTTAATAAATAATTTGTACTTTTGAGTCTGAAAGTCCACACATTAAAATATTATCTGTAAATTTTAAACATGAAATACTACTGCTAAATGAAAACAATTCTTTACTTTGACTAGAATCATAGTTTAAATTCCACCAACGTACTGTTTGATCATTAGAACCTGTAATTAAAGTTGTTCCATCCCATTGAAGACAACGAATTGCGCCATTATGACCACGGAGAGTTGATATATTACATGATTTACTTCTTAAATCCCAAAGCTTACAAGTCATATCATCGGAACCAGTAACTAAAACATTTCCTTTGAATTGGAGTGCTCTTATACCTTCGTTATGACCTTGTACTACTTGAATTGGTTGTGATGTATTTAAATCCCAAACACGTACAACTTTATCGCTACCACCACTCATTAAAATATTATCGTAAACTTGGAGACATGTAACACATGATTGATGCTTGAATGTGTGAGTTGATTGGATATTATGATTTTTATAACGATTGGATGTTCTATCATTAACTGAAATTATATTTTTATGTACATGATCTGGTTCATTAATATCTGGTAAACTTGTGAATGAGTTATTAACAAAGAATGGATCCATCAATTCATCCTCTTCCTCTGGTGTGAGTGGTGCCTCTGGCTCGTTATCATTTAATATATCTTGAATATTCCATACCTTGACTGTTGAATCGCTTGAGCCTGAAATAATTGTATTATCGACCATTTGTAAACAGAAAACATCGAAATTATGAGCACGAGTTGTTAAAATACCTTTGGATTTACCTTGACCCAAATCCCAGAGTCTAATACTATTGTCGAGAGAACCTGTCACCATTATATCGTCCTTGGCATCTAAACATTGAATTGGGTAATAATGACCAGAGAGTGTAAATCTACATTTCTTTGTTTTTGCATCCCATACTTTTGCGGTTTTATCGAATGAACCAGTAAATACCCTATCCTCATCTAAATGTAATGCCCAAACAGTACCTGTATGTCCAATTAAATGAGCCTCTTTGAAACGATCACCTTTCCATTTTTGCTCACGGTCGTGTTGTTGTCTAAATATTTCTCTCCAATGAAGGTCTTTTGATTTATCTGATTTCTTTAAAAACAATTCTCTATTTGGGTAACATTGGAAATAGTTTTGATAAATAATCTTCCAAAGAATTTCTTCTCTGGTGATTTGATACCAATCTGAACATACATATTGAATACTAACGATATCTTCAAATGGTAAATATGAAATGATTTTCATTGTAACTTCTATAGGTAATATACTGATAAATGTGGTACGTTTTAATGGGTTATATTTATTTGGTAATAATAAGTTTTTAATGATTAACTTAATATTTAAATTTTTCTTTTTTGGTTTATATATTGAAGTATTGCTATTGTTGCCACTATTATTGTATGATGAATTTGATTTTAATGATGGAGAGGATTTTTGATATTGTTGCGATGATTGATATCTTGGTGATAAACCTGGTGATTGTCTATTGCTCTGATTATATTTTGATTGTGATTTAATATCGTATGCATATTTTGGCCCCCATTTTTCGTTGTATGCTATTATTTTATAATGATCTTCGTATGGTTCCTCTTCGTAGGAATTTTCGTATGGGAAACTATCGAAATGATAATCTCTTGCTTGTTTTGAAAACTTGGCAAATTCTGGACCTAGCATTTTATTTATATTATTTATTTATAAAAAAAATAATGAAAAAAATAAAATAGAGATAAAAGGAAAATTTAAAGTAGTAAAAAATAATTTTATAGATTTAAGTTTTTTGAAATAATGAAATGAAACAAATTTAAAAATTAAATTTAGAAAAAATAAATAGTATATTTAAAAATAAAAGATAATTTTTTCAATAAAAAAAAATGTAATGTGGGGTAGTTTTTATTGGGTTTTTTTTTTTTTTTTTGTTGTATTTAAAAGAAATTTATTTTATGTGAATAAAAAAAGAGATATATATTTTAAACTATGTGTTTTTTTATTAAATACAAAAAAGAAACTATAACTAACGATTTGTTTATTATTATTATAATTATTTGTTTGTTATTATTATTAAAGTGTTTTTAAATGAAAAAGAAATAAATGAAAAATAATATTTTTTTTTTTTATTTTTTTGTTTTAAATTAAAAAAACAAATATTTTTTTTTAAAAAAAAAGAGAAATAAAATATATAAAATAGTTTTTTTTATAAATGATACAATGATGATGTTGTATTAAAAAAAAATACTTTATTAATTGAAATTTCAGTTATATAGATATAATTATATAAAATCTATTTGTTTATATTTTTTTTTTTTTTTTTTATAACAATATAAAGTTGTCAATAAAACATCCAAAAAAAAAGAAGATAAAAGGGTGTTTATTTTTTTTTTTTCTATGGATATTTATTTTTTTAAAAGATCTATTTTTAATAAAAACCGTGTGTGGGTTTTATTATTTTATTTTTTTTTATTTTATTTTTTTTTTTTGTGTGTGTATGAAGGTTATTATGAATAAAAATGGATATTGTTTTTTAATTCTTTTAATTTTAGTTGGTTACAAAAGATAATATTTTATTATCGATAGTATGCGTGTAAATGATGGTATAAAAAAAAACAATAAAATTAATTAATTTTAATATTATAAAAAATAAATTTGGATTTGGGATTAAATTAAAGATTTTAAAATAAAGGAATAAAAAAAATAATGTTTTTTAATTAAAAAAAAAACAATAATAAATAAATAAATAAATAAATAAATAAATAAATAAATAAATAAAAATTTTGACTCTAAAAAAATAAAAACACGAAACAAACCATTATAAAATTATTATTTTTATTATTGGTTATTATTTTTAATAAGGTTAAAAAAGAAAAAAGGTTAAATATCTGTTATATTAATTTGTATTATAATATTATAAGTTTTTTTTTTTTTTTGGTTTAAACCAAAAAGTATATGGGACCTTAAAAGATATATATAGATAAATACTTCTATAAGTTACTTTTTATTGTAAAAGTTGTATTTGTTTATATATTTGGTTATAAAATTCTATAAACTATTACCATATTATTAAGTTGTGAAAATTGGTTTAAAAGTTTTTTTGAAAATTTTGTTTTAAAAAATAATGAAGAAAAAATAAATATAAAAATAATAATAAAAAAATAAAAATTAAATAAAAGAAAAAGATACTAAATATTATTTTTATTATATAAGCCCAATTGATTACTTTAAGTTAATATTTTATTAAAAAAATAGAATCATATTCCCCAATGATAAAAAATTAGTTTTAAAAATTTTCCATTTTTATAAAAAAAATAAAAATAAAAAAAAAATTAAAAAAAAAAAAGAAATTAAAAAAAAATAAAAAAAAATATAGAAATTTTAATAATTAAAAAATATTATGTTAGTTTTATTAATTTTTACAAATTATTATTAGTAATTTTTTTTATAGGTAATACAGAAAAAAGGATGATAGTTAGTGAATATAATAAATAGTTTTTTTTTTTTAAAAAAAAAAACAAGTTTAAATAAATAATAAAAATATATAAAAAATTGAGATTAAAGTATAAATTAATATTTGTTATTTTGAGTGGCTTTTAAAAAAGCCGTTGTGTATAAAAACAATTTGTTAAATAAGTTTTTTTTTTTTTTTTAGTTTTAATAAAAAAAAAAAAAAATGCTTTTACTACCAAAGCGCGCTTAGAAGGCTTGGGATGAAGCTTCAGCATTTGATGAGGATTTCTTTGAAGTAGCTTTCTTCTTTTTGCCTTCAGTGTTTGATTGAGGAGTTGGTAAGACACCACCGTAAGCAATGGTAACATTGGAGAAGAGTTGATTTAATTCAAGATCATTACCGACAGCCCAATTGATGTGTTGTGGGGTAATACGAGTTTTCTTGGAGATAGAGCAGGTGTTGTGGGCTAATTCGAGAATTTCAAATACTAAGTATTCAAGAACGGCGGCTAAATAAACTGGGGCAGTTGATTCAACACGTGGAGCATAACGACCTTCTCTTAAGAGTCTATCAACACGAGATACTGGGAAAGTAATACCTGCACGGGCTGATCTTGATTCTGATTTTGATTTTTCACCTTTTCTTGGGATGGTTTTTTTGACTTGAGTTTTGGTGCTGGCTTCTGACATTTTTATGAGGATATGAATTTATTTAAATAAAGAGATAAAAAAAAAAGTTTATGATAATTTTTTTTATAACAATAATTGTTTTTAAAATATTTGTTTTTGAAATGAAAAATAAATTTTTTTTTTTTGCCTTTTATTTAAAATTTTTTTTTTAATTTTTTAAAAAAATTTTTAATTTTTTTTTTTTATCAATATGTATCACCATAACCCCAAATTTTTACAAGTGGATTTTTCATTTTAAAAAATTTGAATTTTTTTTTAGCGCCGTTGTAAAAAAATGGAGGTAAAATTTTGACCGCTATTTTTTAAATTTTACAAAATCCAAATATAATTATATCTTTTTTTGAAAATTTAATAAAATGATTGAATAGTAATTCAAATTTTTTATTTTTTTTTATTTTTTTTGATATTATTTATTTATTTTTATTTATTTTTATTTATTTTTATTTATTTATTTGGTTTTATTATTTTTTATTTTATTTAATTTTATTTTATTTTATTTATATTTTTATTTTATTTATATTTTTATTTTATTATTATTTGTTTATTTTATTTTTTTCTTTATTTATTTTTTATTTTATTTTATAATTTTGCATCCGTTTATATTATTTTTTTTTAAAATATTTGAGTAATAAAAAAAAACCACAAAAAAAATTAAAAAAAAAAATTATAATATCAAATTATTATTATAAGTAATTCAATTATTATTTAGATCTTGTTTCATTTAATTTTCGATTGAATTTAGTCCTT